TTAGATAGACTGACAGACCGACTGACAAACCGACTGACCGACCGACCGATTGATAGATAGATGGATAGATAGACAGTAAGCTAACTAGATAGCTAACAAGCCTCTTTTTCCTCACTTTCCGCAGCAGGACAAAGTTGCTGTCTTTTATACGTCTATACTGTCCTGGACCGGGGTGACGTCCAGGAGACATTTCATCACGTCTCCAAGTGAATTGTACTCCCGTGACCCCACGAGTGCAAAAGCCCAGTATTTGGTGCAGCAAGAACTTTGACGAGACCGTGAAAAAGGTGCGAAACCCACAAACAGAATAATACAGGCGTTACGTGTGTTTGTTTTTCCCTAAAACATGTGAAATATCCATCGTTTTGAAAAACACTTTTAAACCCAGTTCTCCCATAAAATATGTTACCGCTGACGTCTGATAACACACACACACACTCGCAAACTCTCACCTCCCGAGTCTACACACATCCTGGCAACACAGTCACAGTTACAACAACCAAACACTTTGAGGGACCGTGTGCATGAGAGCCCTCTACTGGAGTCCACTGATTGTAGCTGATGGAACCCCAGGGTGAGAATTGCCCCTCAGTGATGACACAGACTTGTCCGTTACACTGGTACATTTAGGAGACGAGACGCAGGGACACGTGAGAGGACGTGCCGTCGCCCGAGGACACGGACGTAGGCACTGGTACAGCAGGAAACACAGACCAAGCTGAAAGCCTCTCACTGGAAATCACCGCACGTATGCTGCGTGATTGCAATCACGCGTGAACACAAACACACCAAACAACCCCCCCCCCCCCCCCCCCCCCCGTCACAGCCCACTCACAAAAACGTCTTTTTTCGCTTCACTGTTCCTTCTGAGGCTCAAACGACTCCATGGGAATCGATTCGCTAGCCTGGCACGCCACCGCACAATCGAAGCAGGGAGCGAGAAGCACAGTGAAAAAGAAAAGGCTCCACACACACACACAAAAAAAAAAACCTTGATTTTTCTTTTCTTTCTTTTCTTTTTTTTCCCTCAGTGTCGTTGGCTGTTTCCATTCAGAGCACGGCCTGAAACCACCGCACGCACAAACAACGAGGGGCGGAAGAAAAGCTCATGGTTGGTGAAAGTGGAGGGAAAACACACACACAGGACGTGGGTGCCACGGGGGGGGGGCATGTGACCGTACACACGTGACTGACAGGAGCCTCAAAATAAAACAAAATTCAGTCTCTGATCACACTCCACCTGGAGACGTGTGTGTGTGTGTGTGTGTGTGTGTGTGTGTGTGTGTGTGCAGACCACAGCCATCCATCTAAAGAAGCCAATAGTGCACAGCACAGCCTATAGGCTTCACGGCATCCAGTGCAGACTACTCAATAACTGCTCACACACACACACACACACACACACGCTCACACACACACGTGCCCTTGTAAGGGTTACAGCTATGACGGTGTAAAGACGGTCGACCCTTGAGCCATCAATCTTTACACAGCAGCCTCGCTTGACCTGCCCTTCCACACACACACACACACACACACACACACACATTTCCACCCTTGTCCCTCCTCCCTCTCCATTAATTTCTACATGAAAAACACCAAGAAACGGCCTGTCACCTGGTGTCACCTGGTGTCCCCTCCTGTCACTGGTGTCACCTCCTGTCACTGGTGGCACTTCCTGTCACCTGGTGTCACCAGGCGGCACCAGGTGTCACCAGGTGTCACCGGACACCTCCTGTCACCTGGGGTCACCTGGTGTCACCTAGTGTCACCTCCTGTCACCAGGTGTCACCGGACACCTCCTGTCACCTGGTGTAACCAGGTGTCACCTGGTGTCCCCTCCTGTCACTGGTGTCACCTCCTGTCACCAGGTGTCACCAGGTGTCACCTGGTGTCCCCGGACCCCTGCTGTCACCTTCTGTCACCTGGTGTCACCAGGCGGCACCAGGTGTCACCAGGTGGCACCAGGTGTCACCAGGTGACACCCGGTGACAGGAGGTGACAGGAGGGGACACCAGGTGACACCAGGTGTCACCAGGTGTCACCTGGTGTCACCGGACCCCTGCTGTCACCTTCTGTCACCTGGTGTCACCTCCTGTCACCAGGTGTCACCAGGTGTCACCTCCTGTCACCTGGTGTCACCTGGTGTCACCTGGTGTCACCGGACACCTGGTGTCACCTGGTGTCACCTCCTGTCACCAGGTGTCACCAGGTGTCACCTGGTGTTGATGAACTGATCAACAGCGGACTGAAAAAGAACATTCCGTTCCTGGTGCTGTTGTGTTCAGTGACGTCTGACACTGACGGCAACGACAACAACAGTTCCATCACGATCTCGTGAAGCTTCATCGACAAATCACGCATCGCAAACACGTTCAAAATTGTTCGTGCTCCGTGTCCAAATGATTATCCACTAGAAGCGTACGATGGTGTTCTCATCTTTGGGGACGCTGCTGTTGGCTTGTGTTTATTTATTACCAGATTATTACCTGCTGGGTGACAACACTGACACCTGTGGTGGTTAAAGCAGAACTGAAATACTACGAAGGCCCTGGTCATATTTATTTGTCGTAAATATGTACGAACCGCTGCATTAAAATAGATTGATAAAATGAGCTGCAATGCTGCCATCTAGTGGCTTTTGCTTTCATATACAGCTGTTTTTCCCCAAAACTAAGTTTTCCGTTGCGTTGTCGGGTTTTCGTGGTGAGAGGAAAAACTGATAACGATTCTTAGAAATATTACATAATTATGCTAATATCAGGCCGATAATATCGACTGGCCGACATCCGTAGTTTTAAAGTTTGTTCTTTTTTGCTGTTTTGTCACTGAAGGTGGACAGCCCCACAGATTAGCAGGCACTTAGCCACGTAGCACACAAGAGTTGCCAGTGTGACGCTGGGCTGTCCTGCTTCGATTGACTGTTAGCAGACCGACATAAAGGCTGATTTAAACAACTGTATTTAAACTGACAACAATTATTTATTGACAATCCGACAAACAAAGACAGAGGAAAAACAACGACCCCCACAAAGCGTAGCACGTTCTATCGGTAAGTTAACGTCTTGTTCCATTTCGTCTTACGCATAGTTACAAATACATGGATTTATTGTCCCTGATTGACAGGGTAGTAACGCACTTTTTTAGAGCAGACGTATTTGCTTAAAAATATTACGATCCATTCTTTAGAAGACAATAACATGATCACTTGACATCCATCACTTTTACCGTACTTTTAACAGTTTTTTTTTTCTCTAAATGATATTGTTCCTTAGCAACACCTACCAGGCTGCGTTTCCATGGGCACTGTCGTCAAGGTGACAGAGTAGCTCCAGGGTTTGCGGGTTGTGGGTGGTGTCATCGGGTGACTCGTGGCTACCTGTTTCCCAGTCGGTCGGCATCCGCCATACTGCCGCACAGGAAACGACTCTGCTGTCGCTGGCTGGAGGAGGACAGACAACACAAAGACACAAACGCACACCGTGTCTGACGATGAAAACCCGCGCCTTTGTGTGTGAACGCACTGACATGCATCAAAACTCCTTCCTGTCCAAACAACACCTTCATTCATTTGGCTTATGGGCGCTAATCGGACTGAGTGGACGAGTGCAGACGTGACGCAGTTGGTGAAGTAGAAAGTTGGAGACGGGAGGACATAACCTCTCACAGAGAGGAAACCAGAGGGGGGTGTGAAGGAGCCTAATTTCTTTTTGGTGTAGCGACTGACAGCGTGTGGGCGGGCGTCGGCCAGTGAAGCACTGGCATCGGGCCTATTTGTCAAATTAAAAAAAAAACTCTACGCGGCGTGAGTCCACTGACTCCGAGGGGCTTTAGACACCCCTGCAGTAGAAGAGTGTGGGCAAGTAATCATCTTGAACAATAGCCCTAACGTACCCCTGTACTGTAACAGCAGTGGGAGGTGTGGAAACATCATAAGAATATGCCCCGTGGTTTTAGATTGGATATACCATGTGTGTGTGTGTGTGTGTGTGTGTGTGTGTGTGTGTGTGTGTGTGAGGAGTGGGCAGCAGTGCGTGTACTGAGACTCAGGCTGGACCACAGTGGCTGTCATCCTGTGAAATCAAGCATGTAGAGTTCACCTGACAGAGGGCGAGTGTAGACGTGTACGTGTGTGTGTGTGTGTGTGTGCGTCACAGTCTCAGCCTCGGTCTGTGGGTTAGTGCAGTGTTTTATCCAGTCACCATCACAGACTACAGTGGAACCTCGGTTGTCAAACTGAATTTCGAACTAAGAATTGTCCCAGTTGTCGTACCAAACCTTGGTTAGCGAACAAGCTAACAATACCACGCGGGCAGCAGGTGATCACAGAGTGACTGAGCACGTGCTGTTATATTGTTTTGCCTGTATTTCTTGCACTGTGCTATTAACTGTAACGTATCGTGAAACAGAGGCCAAAGCAAGTTTCAAAAGAAAGGTTTTTAGTGGGATGACAATAATATAAAATGTGTTCTTGTAATGCAGATTTAAATACATTAAAAGACATTTTGTAACACACGTACAGGGTATTGCAAGAAATACCCTGTACGTACGGGTAAACGAGATTTGTGAAAGTTTCGTTAAGTCTTTTGCCATATTTCACGCCCTACGATGCCCCCTAAAGGGTTCGTAAAGGGTTAATATATACGTAAAGATAAAAAAAAACTATCGCGTCTCCACTTCGTGGTTTCTTGCCTAGCGCAGGTGATAGCAATAGACAAGGGACCTCTGTATATCGCAAAATATGGCATCGATGTCCCATATTGCGATACGTATCGCCAGATTCTAGACAATACACCCCCCTAGTGTGAGGTGATGTTATAAGAGACACATGGTTTCATCAAAAGCAATGTTCGGAGTGTGTAGCATGTAGCAAATTCAAAATCATAGTAACAAATAAAAATATGTTAGCATCAAAAAACACTCCAAATCTTTTCTTTGTCATCTTGCCTGGTACATGAGCTAATTTCAGATTTGTGCTTTTATCGCATATTAAACCACAGTATTTTTTTTGTAATCGCATTTGTAGGTTTAAAAAAAAAAAAAAAAAAAAAGTCAAAATAGGTGAAACAGCCAGAGAGGTGACATGATGCATGAAGAGGCAGATAATGAAGCAGAGACATCAGGAAACAGTAGGACTCACTTTTGTTGTAGCAGGTGGTAAGAACAGCCTTATCTGCAGGACTGGCTCCAATGTGCCATATCTCCCCAGCTTGGTGCAGGAGGACATTCTTATTAATGATGTTATTCTCATCATCAAAGTCAATGATGTGAATCTGGAAATAACAGAAAGAGAGAGAGAGAGAGAGAGAGAGGGAGGAGGAAAAAAAAGCTGGAGTTCTAGCTGCTCCTCACACACAGACCACGGCTTAATCATTGGCTCCTTCTCATGATTTGTCCCATAAAAAAAAGGAAAAAAAAGGAAAGGTCTCTCTCTTTTATTTTGACAGCAAATGTAATTTTAAGACAGATACCACTTTGGTCGGGATCCGCTCTCAACCCCATCATCTTCACACAAACAAAGATCTTTTATCTTGGACTTCTTTAAAAAGACCATTAAGGCTCAGTAAGAGATGCATTTAATTAGCATGAGCTCGGCATCAGACACGTCTGAAACATTAAAGGAAAAAGTGCAACAGAAAAGATTTTTGGTTATTGTTTTGCAGACAAATGGTCCGACTTAACAGAGCACTAAGTGGAAAATGCCGGCACTGGTTGTTGAAAATCCATGTTTTACTTGAATATCGCCAACCTCAACACTCACATCCCAAGACGTAGTAGCCTTTACCTCTGATTCATTAACAACAGGTGGATAAAAACACAGTGGTCCTGCATTAAGGAGTACTATTCTCAATGAAAATACACTGCCTAAAATAAAACTACTGTTTTTTTAAGAGTGTGAATTGGGCAAGAATCTGTCGATACGATACGTGTCACGATACAGGGGCAACAACATGATATATTGTAATATATATAAGATATAAGAAAAGAAAAAGAAAAATATAAGATATAAGATATAAGAAAAGAAAAAGAAAATGAACCAACACCAGGAATATTAGACTGGGAATTGGTGAGAAAAGATCAATAACTGATCAATGACTGAGGAGATTGATACGGGATCAGGAAATGGAGAGATCGTGATATTTCAGTGTGGCGATATTTTCTCACAGCCCTATTTTTATCATTTTCATTTGCAAGAATTCCTACTGATTAATATAAATACATACCTTTCTCAAGTTTGGAGTTTGAGGGTAACTTTTACCTCACATGGATTTGCTTCAGTTCTGTTCACGTGTCCAATAAACATGTTTGATGGCGAGCCTTAACCTGCATTTTTATACATACTGTATTTTCAGGGTTGATGAAATAACAAAGCTGTAGATTAATGCCACGGTCACAGGTTTGCCCACACAGGACTATAAATCCTTTTTGAGGTGCGGCTCCGTGACCTGGTGCTGTTGAGGCCCCTGATGAGGCCCTGGTTGAATGAAAACCAATGAAACCACAATCATCGGCAGTGAAGCCTTTACTGCAGCGTTACCAAGACAGACAAGTCAAACTTTTATACACAGGAAGTTAACAGAAACTTTCCCGTGAGCTCCTTTCATTAGATGGTAATCTATTCTATGAGGGCCCTCCACTGAACGCAGTTCAGGGCCCAGCGTGCTGTAAAACACTGAGGGCCTCAAGGTTTGATCAGACAATATATGGCAGCTTCGCCCATAAGAGAGACACTTACAGCACCTTGAGGGACTGTTAATGGGGTCACACTGGACAATAACTCCTGCCAGGCATTTCCACTCCCCTTGCCTCTACTACTTTTACAGGCTGAGTAGGAGCATGAAAGGAGGGGGTGTGAGGAGGAGGAGGAAAGCATCGGAGCAGCAGCAGCATCCTTCAGCTTCTCAAAGTCAGCTAGGCCACCATTAACCTTGGGTTGGACTGCATCGAGCAAAAAATTATTACGCAAAGTTATAATTTTATGGTGGTGGAGGAGTGGTTCGAATAAATTCATGCCGGTGGGACAGGATAATTGGAAGGACTAGTAATAGGGTTCCCCGAAATGAACTCAGGTGTAAGGGTAGAGAGAAGTTCAAACCCTCCTCCTCCTCCTCCTCCCCCAGGTGATTTATCCACCATTCTTCCAGGCGTAGGCAGTGAGTCATAGCCTTCAGCCACTTGGGCACACTGCCCAGTGCTGTTAATTATGTGCCAGTGGTTGGATGAATCCAGCCAATAAGGTGGAGAGAAGGGAGACAAAGTCAGGGGTAAGAGTGGTGTAAAGCCAAGTTGGCTTCTGGCCCCCCATTTAAAGCCCTTCTACTCTAAAGCTCTCGAGTCGTGGAGATGACAGCGAGCGGGGCTGAGGAGAAGCAAGCGGGCGCACGGTGCCAAACGTGGAGGCTTTATCTTGTTAGCAGCCTTAAATGCCACACTGTCGCTCCCTCCGATCTGTCATTCCAGATATTGGTCTCCGAGGGATTTGAGAGGTGCTCAGCGAGTTAAGAGAGGCATTTCCTACCTGCATTATGCTTAATGGGAGGTGGAGAGGCCAGCGGGCTTATGGTACAGCAGAAGCTATTAAGGCTGAAATGCCAATCTAAAACACGTTTTTCATTTTGGGAGTTCAAACTTAAACAAACTCAGCTAACCAGTGTTGGCCAGAAAACCCGTCGAAGGTTAAAAAGACAGAGAGATTCATAAACTGGACGTATTAAATCTACTGAACAGAACCAACAGGATGAAATTAGCGTTTGCTCTGGATGCGCAGATTCAGTGAAAAAAAAAAAAAAATCAATAAAAACCTTATCCTCTGATTTTAGGTGGACTCTGTGATCCCTTAGATCGTTCGTTTTAGATCGGATAATGGTTTAAATCTGGTTTCTTGTGGTCACATAGTGCAGCGGTTAGCTCATCTGCCTTACGCACAGAGGGTCCAGGTTTGAAGCCCCAGAGGAACCACATACTTAATGGTGCCTCCAATGGCAGCCTGTGTGGGCGGTGACATGGATATGTAGTAAAGAAGTCCGATAATATAGCATAATTATGTAAAAGCTGTAAGAATTCATATCAGTTCTTCCTCCGATAATGAAACCTGACAACACAATGCCTGTGTAATATGCCTGTAATAAAGATCATGATAATAATGATTGTTATTATTATCATTATTTTTATAGACACCTCATACTGTAGTCCTTTCCTCTACTGAAAAAACTAAACATTTTTTCTCTCCATCTCCATTACACCCTCCTCGCCCTGTTCCTCTCTGAGAACTAATTATTTTTCTTCCCTTTTGGAGCCAAACGTTTCTGTCATCTATCTCTTTAATGACTTGTGCATGCGTGTTGTATGCAGGCGGGCGGGCGTACACCCACACTCTTACTCCTTTACATACAAAAACATACTCTCTCACTACAGACCTTTCACCCGTCTTTAAATTTAGATCCTAACAGTTGGTAGTCTTCCCTTTATGCTGATTAACAGACCACAGTCACAGTTAGAACTTAACGAATGTCAGGCAAGTCTCTCTGAGAATCCATGTCCATTAATCAGAACATGGACCCTGCTCTTCGTTTCACTCCACACATTGTTACTGAGATTTCATTCTGCTCTCGATCAGGGTAAGTGAAAATGTACACACTGTCCTGAAGGAAGTACTAACCATAGTCAACATAGGCTTTTAGTCCACCTGTTGAAACAAAACAAAGAACAAAACTCCAAATCAACACCGGCATATGTCCACATTAGGGATGTCCGATAATATCGGCCGACCGATATTATATAATGAAAATGGTGATGAAAATTTGATCACGCAACGCCTGGGTTTGGCCAAATGATGTGTGCCCTAAAAATAGTTTTGGGGAAAAACGGCTGTATATGAAAGCGAAAGCCACTAGATGGCAGCATTGCAGCTCATTTCATTAATCTGTTTTAATAATCAGCGGATCGTATGCAGAACGCTGGTGTCAGAAACTCATACAGTGGTTTGTACTGATAAATGAATAAATATTACCAGGTCCAAAAGGTTAATATCTGACATCATTGGTCCACAGTTAATCCTCCCAGATTCTGCATTCATTACATGTTCAGATTGTTGTGTGGAAACCGTTATTCAATGAACTCAATCTGTGTTTTTACTGCCCGTGATGGGAACTGGTTGTACATAGTAATATTACGTGACCATTTATTAGTATTATCAGGAGGGGGTTGAAAATGAAACAATAAAAACACATACATGTAGTTGTAATCCAAAATTCAAGAGCACAATGTTTCATTAACGTAGACGCCATGTCATCGTCAGACGGTGGGATTGTGAAGTCGGGGTCACCTGAGGACGACTGAAACTGTCCTGACCACTTTTTACTGACCCCAAATTTATACAGCACATAAAACATAGTAAAATATAATTTAACTTTTCTACACTCCACTCAGGTTTTAACTGCCCGGAAGAAAACTTGAATCCGACCTCCCTGGAAACTCTAAACTTAAGGCAAGATTAAATCAAATGCTGAACCCCTACTCTTTCCTAAAACTTTTTTTTTTTTAAGAAATGATGGCTATACATTTAAGACACATTCTAAACAAACTGTTGTCTGTTTGTCATGATGCTATGTCATCATTTTCTGTGCATGTTGTGCAATGTTGTTTTTTTACTTTCTATATATTTTTATATATACACCCTTTTTTAACTACATTTTTTATACTTCTTTAAGATATAGTTATTTTTGTGTATGTCTTGAACTTGAACAAAAAACAGTTCTTACAGAATTCAATAAGTTAGAATTACTCAAAAAATATTGCCAGGTTCTGCACTAAAATCAATTAGAATTGTCTGTCAATAATGTTTCTCATTGCTTAACAAGGTATATCACCATCAGAAGTTAAAATACCTTAACAAAGACTTAGTCAAGAGAAAATTCTATGCATTAAATCTGCCCGTCAGTTGGACTGGACCAGGGAGAAAGGCTTCAAGATGCTGATGGACAGTAACGTCAAAGGTTTGCCCCAAGAAATCATTGTAGCAAAACACAGAAAATCCACAGCAGCAACAAGAAACTGTTGCTGACAAGTCAACGTGCGAAGAGGACGACATAAATCATCAGACAATAGGCAGAAAACCAAAAACAAAGGTCTTTCTTTCTTTGGTCAGTAAAGTTTGCATCTCAGAATGTATTTTGTAAACTACAGAAAATGCTTCTGTAATTGTTATTTCATTTGAAAAACAGACATTCGAGTCCAGCATCAATACTGGTATGGTAATGTGCTGTATCAAAAGACACAAATATATATGTATATTGCTGATACAAAGGTCTATATAGGAATTTAACACATCTAACATGCCTCATTCCAAGGTTGGTATGGACCTTTGACGGTACAACAAAGTGTGACATTGTGTTATTCACTGGCCTGTGTGCGGTCCAGGTGTCATGTGTAGAAATAACAAACCTGAAAACATTACCAACAACAACAACAACAACAACAAGATTGTTAAACTTTGCACAAAATCTCTCAAACAACCGAAGACACCAATACACAAAGCTGCGTGTGCGCAGGTCTTAGGTCCTTTTCGTCACTAAACCAAAAACAACTTAAGGTACCGTCAATGTGAATTTACAGCTTTTCTTACCTGGTTGTCAAATTTCAGAGACTGTGTTCCCACAAGAAAGCGAATGGCGTCGGTTTCAGCTGTCTGTGCAGTCATTGCCCGAGCCTGTCGGGTAGATACAACAGCAAACACCAGTCCATTATATGAATGAACGCTGCTAACGTTAGCTGTCAGTCAGAGATGTGGTGCAGCGCAAAGATATACCTGAAACTCGAGACCGTAAATGACAGGAGCGTCGTCCTCCATTTTTACGTCCGAGAGAAAACGTTCAACCTTAAGGTCTTTTTAGAAGGAATGTAAAACACTTACAAATACATACAACTGTGCACTCTGTACGACACACAACTGTGTATCTACACTTCCGCGATTTTAAAAAACATACGAAAAGACAGGTGTACGCAAGTCGCGTAATGAATGACCAACAACGTCGTAAACGCAATAAAAACTGCGCAGAAACAGTCGGGGGTAGCAGAACTCGCCGCGGTATTAAATTTGTCCAGTAAGGTGTGCCGTAGCTGTGGATTTCCTGTGGAAGCGGAAGCTGTCAGTTAGCAGTGAGGTAAGACAACAAGCACCAAAACAACGTCGTACATCGTAATTGACAGTTTATCTGCCCTGTGTCGAACCTGCTGGTACTTTTGGAAGGACGTTACTTTGTGAAGCGTGTAAGTTGCTGTTGGTGAGAAATGTGTTGGATGTCTGTCAGCTGGTGAGCTGAGCTCGCCTATGATAGCACACCGGCTAATGTAGCATCATTTCATTAACCAGTGTTAAATAAACAACGGTGTCGAAGGTAGTTATTGTTGATTCACTTCGAATAACTCGACCTTGTTGATTATGGTTTTATGACAGTAACACAAAATGGCTGCTTCCGTGTGCGTTCACACTGATAGGATGTGATTTAAGGCTGTCGTGTTCAGTCCTGTCCTGTAAATGTGATGGCTGCGTTTCATTTAACGCTCATTAAATATCTTACACTAATTACACAATTCTGCTAAGTAATGCCTTTTTTATTTATTATGGTGAACAGGGAAACGGCAGGACCACAGAACCACAAACCATTAACAATCACACACTGTGGACAGTTATGAGCCTAAAATCAACCTGTTCCCACATCGTTGTGCACTATATTAGGAAACCGATTTACCTGATGGAAACTTACAATGTGCAAACGTTATTAACCAGTTATGTTCCTGCAAGTGGTAGAAATGCTATGTGTTTATTGAATGTTGGCCTTTGTCCTGGCTTTTAAGACTTGTGCAATGATGGCTTGTTATCATTCAAAACTGAATACATTAGCTCTGGACTATTAGCTAAAAGGGTGTTTTTTTACAGTCTTAATTTGAACACCAAAAGCCCCATGTACAATATATAACAATAACTTGTCATTATTATTTTATTGTAAGTAATAATTATTATTATATAAGAAATGTAAACATTTTATTCTTTTTTATTTTGAAGACTGTTAATATGGATCCTGAGGAGGTTCCTGCTCAGCGACCTTTTACCCTGGACATTACAGTGGAGGATATAAGCACTGATCTTCAGAACGAGACTGAACCATCCTTCACCCAACCGTCCTCTACAGATAATGTCCTTCTCCAGGAAGAGAGCATTGACTTGGGTGGAGGGTTTGCTACTCCCCAGGAGGACAGCAGTGCCACCCCCACAGAAAGCCTGATGGAGAAGCTCAATGATCAGATGATGGAGAGCGTCATGATATCCGACTCGCCTAACAACAGTGAGGGAAATGATGTGGCTCCCATTGACTCAATTCTTGACGGGGACGAGGAGGAGGAGGAGGAGGAGGAG